GGGGCGAGCCGCAGACCAACGGTATCCGCCTCGTTCCCAGGGGAAAGCATCGCCTTGAACCTACATGGCTACGGAGTCGGCGGCTGGGAATACAACTGTCTTCTATTGAATGCGCCATGGGTTGCGCTTTCGGCGGCCGAAAATAAAACCGTCGCCGATCGATTGCGTCACAGGTTGCGCCCCAAGAGGCTGAAAACAAAACCGCCTGCTGCTGGTTTCGCCATAAGTTGTGCCCTCGGCGGCCGGGAATACAACCGTCAGCTGTTGATTGCGCCATGGGTTGCGCCCTCGGCGGCCGAGGACGGATCCGCCTCCTACTCGTTTCGCCACGGTTGCGCCTTCGGCGGCCGAGAACGAAGCGCTCGTTTTGTGGTTGCGCCACAGGTTGCGCCCTCGGCGGTTGAGAAAATGTCCGTTTCCTGTGGGTTGCGCCATGGATTGTACCTTCGGCGGCCAAAAATATAACCATCTCTTATCGGTTGCGCCATAACGTTATGTTGCGCCCTCGGCGCCGGCCGAGAATGAACCCGTCCGCCATCGGTTGCGCCATGGGTTGGGCCTTCGGAGGCGGCTGAGAATAGAACCGGCTGCTATCGTTTGCGCCATGGGTCGCGCCCTCCGCAGCAACAAATAGTACAGCCTCCGATTTGTTCCGCCACGGTTGCGCCGTCGGCGGCCGAAGAATGAAACCGTCGCGCAACGGGTGCGACCAGTCAGTTGGTCAATCAGCCAGTCAATCAGTCACTCGATCTGTCAGTGTGTCAATCGGAGCTCACCTCGCGAGAAACCGTCCTCGGGATGCGCCCGAGATCAAGGCGGAAGATTGTCGCCGCTTTCGCCTTTCGGGGGTCCGTAGAGGGTCGTCAGACGAAGACCCATGATGAAACGTTGTCATATTGACATGTCTGGGCCTCCAAGGGCTGCGAATTGGACAAATCAAGACGCCGGATGTCGCGGAGGGGGCGGAGAAGGACGATGAGCAGAATGAGGAGGGGAGGAAAAGAGAGAAAGGTGGAGGAGGAGCAGGAAGAGGAGGAAGAGGAAGGGGGTGGGAAGAGGGGGACGAGGAGAAGGAGGAGGAGAAGCAGGGGGAGGAGGAGAGTAGGAGGAGGAGCAGCAAGGGGGAACCATTTTGAGCCATCTCAGCCGTCTCGGAGGGGCGTGTTGGACCGCCTTAGCACCGCGTCGAAACTCTCTCGTTCGCCTCGACGGCAATATGGGCGCCATCTTGAAGGCCAGCGCGAGCCTCAAAATGGCGAGCGACAACCTCATGATTGACGATTCCTTGTGGTCCGCATGGAGGCCCCGCCTCATGTCGGCACTCCGCTCACACGCTTCGTGGCGCCATATAGAGTGCGGCCGAAGGCTTCAGCGACAACGTCCGCATGGCGGAATCGCAGCGTGGAACCGACCTGGACAAAAATGTCTGAACCATGCTGCAGCCACGCAGCACGGAACACATTCAATGCGGTTCCCACTGCGCACGTTCGGCCACGCAGCAAACATAAAATAGGACGGAAATCCTCAAAAGTAGGGCGGAAACAGCAACGGACAAGTAGGGCGGAAATTGGCATCATCTGGGCTGAAAAAGTAAGGCGGGAATTTCAGGCTCTACTTGCGAAATTGCCCAAAGTAGGGCGGATCCGGAAATAGGATCCGAATTCGGAGGTCTGGAACCTGGAACCCGTAACCCCGAATCCGGATATCCGAATTCGGATGTCCAATCCGGAACCTGAAACCGGAACCCGGAACCTGGAATCCGGATATCCGAATTCGGAGGTCCAATCCGGAACCCAGAACCCGGAACCCGGAACCCGGATATCCGAATTCAGATTTCCGACCTCCGAATTCGATTTCCGAATTGGACCTCCCCAGGCTGACTCTCCAGATCGCCACCGAATATTGCAATCACACAAATTGGAATACATGCTTCGTCGATCCTTGAGGGCCCTAGGGTGCCCCAAAGTTTCACGTGGAAACCTGTGGTCATCGGAGAATAAGGCATGCCGGTGTGCCACATCCTGACAGACCGATATCTTTCCCAACCATCCTGTGGTGTTGGGTCCTCGTTTTGAAGAGACGTCGCCCCGCGTTCCTCCTTCCTCCTCCTTCCTCCTCCTCCCCTTCCCCCCCCCTCCTCCCCCTCCCACACCCATTCTGGCACACCCCTCACACGTTTCGTGGCCCCATAGGGAGCTCCACCGAAGGCCCCAGTGGCTGCGCCCGCATGCGGTTCCACCCCCCATTCTGGCACACCCCTCACACGTTTCGTGGCCCCATAGGGAGCTCCACCGAACGCCGCAGTGGCTGCGCCGCATGCGGTTCCACCCCCCATTCTGGCACACCCCTCACACGTTTCGTGGCCCCATAGGGAGCTCCACCGAAGGCCCCAGTGGCTGCGCCCGCATGCGGTTCCACCCCCCATTCTGGCACACCCCTCACACGTTTCGTGGCCCCATAGGGAGCTCCACCGAAGGCCCCAGTGGCTGCGCCCGCATGCGGTTCCACCCCCCATTCTGGCACACCCCTCACACGTTTCGTGGCCCCATAGGGAGCTCCACCGAAGGCCCCAGTGGCTGCGCCCGCATGCGGTTCCACCCCCCATTCTGGCACACCCCTCACACGTTTCGTGGCCCCATAGGGAGCTCCACCGAAGGCCCCAGTGGCTGCGCCCGCATGCGGTTCCACCCCCCATTCTGGCACACCCCTCACACGTTTCGTGGCCCCATAGGGAGCTCCACCGAAGGCCCCAGTGGCTGCGCCCGCATGCGGTTCCACCCCCATTCTGGCACACCCCTCACACGTTTCGTGGCCCCATAGGGAGCTCCACCGAAGGCCCCAGTGGCTGCGCCCGCATGCGGTTCCACCCCCATTCTGGCACACCCCTCACACGTTTCGTGGCCCCATAGGGAGCTCCACCGAAGGCCCCAGTGGCTGCGCCCGCATGCGGTTCCACCCCCCATTCTGGCACACCCCTCACACGTTTCGTGGCCCCATAGGGAGCTCCACCGAAGGCCCCAGTGGCTGCGCCCGCATGCGGTTCCACCCCCCATTCTGGCACACCCCTCACACGTTTCGTGGCCCCATAGGGAGCTCCACCGAAGGCCCCAGTGGCTGCGCCCGCATGCGGTTCCACCCCCCATTCTGGCACACCCCTCACACGTTTCGTGGCCCCATAGGGAGCTCCATGGTTCCCCCCCCCATTTCGGCACACCCCTCACACACGGTTCGTGGCCTCATAGAGAGCTCCACCGAAGGCCCCAGTGGCTGCGCTCGCATGCGGTTCCACCCCCTTTTTCGGCACGCCCTTCACACGTCTCGTGGCCCCATAGGGAGCTCCACCGAACGCCGCAGTGGCTGCGCTCGCATGCGGTTCCACCCCCCATTTCGGCACACCCCTCACACGTTTCGTGGCTCCATAGGGAGCTCCACCGAAGGCCCCAGTGGCTGCGCTGGCATGCGGTTCCACACCCCATTCTGGCACACCCCTCGCACGTTTCGTGGCCCCATAGGGGGCTCCACCAAAGTCCCAGTGGCACTGCCCGCTTGCGTCCGCCACCACCCAGCACAGCCCTTGTTCCCTGCGCTTCACCCACCCAGAACAGCGCTTCGTAGCCCTATAGGGAGCTCCACCAAAGGTCCCAGCGGCACCGCCCGCATGCGTCCGCCACCACCCTGCGCAGCCCTTGCTCCCTGCCTGCGTTTCACCCACCCAGTACAGCGTTTCGTGGCCCCATAGGGAGCTCCACCGAAGGTCCCAGTGGCACCGCTCGCATGCGTCCGCCACCACGCAGCACAGCCCTTGCTGACCGCGTCTCACCCACCCAGTACAGCGTTTCGTGGCCCCATAGGGAGCTCCACCGAAGGTCCCAGTGGCACCGCCCGCATGCGTCCGCCACCAGTCAGCACAATTGCGGCATTCACAACTGCATATGGTTGGGTCCTTCGCCAGGCTAATTTTTGAGGCTCTGAGCAACGGACCACCCACTGATCGTGTATCCGGCCGCCTCTACCTTCAGTTCCATACGAAAATCGTCTCGCCTTTCCCATCATGCAACGGCCCTGGGCTCCTAGGGCGATAATTGCCGTGAGTGCGCTTGATCTGCGCTCCCAAGACCACTTCGTAATACTGCACGGATGTACGCTGACAGGGACACGATCCCTTGTGGAACCTTTTCGGGCACGACGGGAAAGCTGCTGCACACATCCCCGTATGCAGTATCAAATACCGGGGTCTCTCAGACAAGCTTGGAACCTTATGCGCTGCTGTTGGGCCTTCTCGAGCTGGCTCAAAATTTGCTTATGTCTTCATCGTCTTGGGAATCCCTCGGGGACGTCTTGGTGATTCTTAAAGCCCCCTTTCGGGGGTAACACGAGAACACCCAAGAGCTTGTTTTTGTTCATGCGTTGTGCACCCCAAGCTTTCAGCGTTTCATCCCAACGTGGCCGCAAAGGGGCCGCAAGAATGCCCTGAGAAAGCCTCAATACTGCCCAAAGTGCATTCGTTTAGGAGGACCCCAAATTTAAGTCGTGCAGGTCCTCGTACAGGCGGATTTGGAAGGAAAATTCAAAAATCGCCAAAACGCATTCAAAACATATAAACAAGAATATAAAACAAAATCACCCCCATTTTTTTGATTTTTCTTTTTTGCCAAAAGAACACTATGCTTGAATATTCCTCCTGCTGTAGAGTGGCATGCCGCAGTTAATTCCAACTTGAATTGAGATGGTTCAAAAGGCCCAAGAGCGGACCTCTACGAGCTCCAACGAGGCTCCCAAGACAGCCCAACAGGGGCCGAAACGGCAGCCAAGATGGCCCTGGACGCAGCCGAGGTGCGGCCCCCGACATCGCCTCCGTGGGACCCTGACCCCGCGAATGTGGGGCCAAAACGCAACAAAATAACGGAGCATAAAATCCGATGGTCCCGCAATGAGAATTTCGCCGCGTAGACCTTGCCAAAAAGGCAAAGGGCGGCGCTGACTCGCCGGAGGCGTCTTTCATAATGTGGGGACTGATGAATTTATCCAGGGGTACAGCACTCTCGTGCCAGTCCCGTCCGCCTGAGATCGTGCCATACAACGACAGTATCGATCTGTCGACACTACCGAAGTATAAGTGCAAATTCCGCTCATCTTCGTCCTTCAGGTGCCAATCATCGATGGAATACTGCGTTTTGTACTCGGTTACCACCACCGTGATGAGGATTGCAAAAACAGCTGTGATGGAGCCGATCAGCGCGAACACCTGAGAGTAAGAAGAGACGACACGACCCTCCATGGTCAAGAGGAAGGGGGGGTCCTCTTGGTGGTGGCGTCGCTTTTTTTCCTGTTCCCCCCGTTATCTCGCTCGGGACATGTCCATATCCAACTCGGGAAGACATCGTGGACCTCCTCACCGCGGGTGGCCCTCTTGATGGTGGTTGTGTCACTTCTCCTTCCTCTGAACACCCAAATCAGTGGCTGGACAGACTGGACGACGCTCACGATGAGCAAGCGCAAAGCCGGGAAGACCCTGAAAACGCGGACGAGCCGGAAGACGCGAAAGAGCCGCAGGATCCTCAACAATGGCACCCACTGTGTCTGATTTTTGGCGAGGTCGAACATCTCCTGGAAGACGTCCAACGCCTGGATGACAACTAAAGCAGCATCAAACCAACCGCCATACTTCTGAGGGCCGCAGAAGAACTCCTTGACACCGAAAACAAAGATCCGCAGAAAGAGCTCGGTGACGAACCCAACCAAAAAGAACAGATCGACGTACACGAACAGATCGGGCGCATGCGTGAGCCACCGCCTTGCTACGTAGTCTGTCTGGAAGGTAAGCCAAACCACGCTCAACATCACGAATGCGCCAGCAAGGAAATCAAACGTTGTGCCTTTTACAAAAGCCGAAAGACATTGGTAACGGGCAGACTGCCAAGTTTCTTCGGGACCGTCTGATTGTACATCTTCAATCTCCTGGTAAAGCTCATCCCCCTTTCCCGAAAGCATGAGAGGTTGGTGGGCCGCAGGAGAACCTTCCTCGTGCAGTGTCTGGCCCAACGATGGTGACGGTGGTCTTCCTCTCGTTGAGGCACGCGGCTGCTGCGCCAGCGTAAGTTCTACCCCTCGGGCGCTCAAGTGATCGACGACCTCTTTGATAAGACTGTTCTTCAAGTCCTCGAACTCGCGGTGCAATGTCTCTTTCGCGAAAGCATCAAGCTCTGCTCGCAGGAGTGACTGCGTCAAGGGTGGACCCTCACATTGCTGGGGCGTCGCCATTGCAACACTGGCGCTGTTCGCCTATATCTGAAGGAATGGCCAGAAACTCTCAGATCAATTGGCGAAAGCGCGAGCCAAACAACTTGCGTGTGCCGGCAAAGCATCAGACGGTCAACCAATCTCCACCTGACCGAAAAAGAACCGGAAGGTCGACTCGTGAGACCAGGGACACACGAAAGGGAACGGAGCTGACAAAGAGGCGGGTGAGGAGGATTACCGCGTGGAGGACGAGGGGAAAGCGAGGAAGACCAGGACGGCTGCGAACAGGAAAACAGGCACAGGGACGAGAAGGATGAAGACGAGGAGAACGAGCATCAGAAGGAACACGACAAGATCGACGAGGGAAAGGAGGACGGACGGCAGAGTGGAATATGAGGGTGACAGCGTGGATGAGGAGGGGGAGAGCGGGCAGGACGAGGAGTAGGACGAGGCTCTCGAGGACGACGGCGAGGAGGACGAGCCAGACAAGGCGGTAGGGGGCAAGAGCGACGTGGAGGACGACCAGGAGAAAAAACAGAGTGAAGAACAGCGTCGAGTACAATGAGGACAGGTCGGAGGACGACGACGAAGAGAAGAGGGACGAGAAGCACACGAAGGACGTGAAAGTAGTGAGAGCACTTGGTACTTGTCAGGGCTACGAAAGGAACTACAAGGAGCGGACGGGTCTCTGTGGGGCCCCTTAGATGGCACATACTTCGGCGCTTCCTGGGAGCCTATCGGAGTATTATTAGGGAGAACTGGGATGTTTGGGACTGTCTGGGTGTGTCGTGTGGAGCTTTGTGGGCTCTCTTGGGCAATCGTGGCGCCTCCTTGGACCGTCTTGGGACTCTCGTGGGCCTTTTTGGGGCTCTCTTTCGTTTCGGTTCTCATGGCGGCCGTTGGGGGCTGCTCTGGGCAATTTTGAAACCCTCCTGGACCGATTCCGAACGATGTTGGTTCAGAATCTCTCCCGAATCCGATGTCTGAGAAACCTCTCGAACGAAACTGTAATGTCTTATACATGTGCTCTGCTGTGTTGCTGAAACGGCCTGCCGCGCTGCCTTGCTTTGCAGAGGCCTCGAGGGCTTCTGGAGGCACCACCAGTGGGGGTGGGTACAGAGGGCCACGGCGACGGGGGCGGCCGAAGGGCCGCAGACGGCCGACAAGCCTTGCTCGTCCGTGGTGCATTGGTCTGGCATGCCGGTCTGCCGTGCTGGTCTGCCGAACTGCGATAGTGTCTGCCGTGATCCTTTTTGGTCTGCCGTGCTGCTGTGGTCGGCCGTGCTGGTATCCTGTGCTGCTGTGGTCTGGCCTGCTGGTCTGACGTGCTGCGTGATGTGTTGTGCATGCTTGTTGTCTGTTTGGGCCCGTGCAGCTTTGTATATTCTGTGCTGTTTGGAATGGCGCGGTGTATGTCGTGTGTGTGTTGTGTAATACTGGGCGGACAAGACACGGGAATGGGGCGTATGTACGGTGAGCGTGCCGAATGTGTACTGGCTGGGCAGAGGAGGGAGAGGCACACGGTGTATGTGCGCGTGCAGTGTGCGTGTTGTGCGTTGTGCGTGTTGTGACAGTTGCCCTGTGCGTTGTATGTTTTGCGTTGCGCGTTGCGTTCGAAGTGGTGTGTGCGATGTGTGCGTTGTGTGTATGGCATGTGATGTGTGCTGTTGTATTTATATCCGCCGGCCCCCTTGTGGGGCCACCAGGCTGCGAGGCGCGTGATTCGCAGTTTCCTGTACCAGTTGTAGTTTGTAGTTTCCAGTGTTACAGTTCTGCTTCTTGCTGGTTACTATAACTAGTTGACTGATTGCTGGTTACTGTAACTAGTTGATTGACCGCGCGAGGGGGGGGAGGCCCAAACGGGATTTTTAGCGTCTCCTGGGCGCGTTGTCTGAATTGCTGGGGGGGCTCGAAATCGACACCCCTCACGCAGATCCGCGGGGTCAGGGTCCAAAAACACAGGGGATTTGCCACATTTCTGAAATTCGGTGCCACCCCTCACGCAGATCCGCGGGGTCAGGGTCCAAAAACACAAGGGATTTGCCACATTTCTGAAATTCGGTGCCACCCCTCACGCAGATCCGCGGGGTCAGGGTCCAAAAACACAAGGGATTTGCCACATTTCTGAAATTCGGTGCCACCCCTCACGCAGATCCGCGGGGTCAGGGTCCAAAAACACATGGGATTTGCCACATTTCTGAAATTCGGTGCCACCCCTCACGCAGATCCGCGGGGTCAGGGTCCAAAAACACAGGGATTTGCCACATTTCTGAAATTCGGTGCCACCCCTCACGCAGATCCGCGGGGTCAGGGTCCAAAAACACATGGGATTTGCCACATTTCTGAAATTCGGTGCCACCCCTCACGCAGATCCGCGGGGTCAGGGTCCAAAAACACAAGGGATTTGCCACATTTCTGAAATTCGGTGCCACCCCTCACGCAGATCCGCGGGGTCAGGGTCCAAAAACACAGGGGATTCGCCAAATTTCTGAAATTCGGCGCTACCCCTTACGCAGATCCGCGGGGTCAGGGTCCAAAAACACATGGGATTTGCCACATTTCTGAAATTCGGTGCCACCCTTCACGCACATCCATCGCAAGGCGTGGTAACCCAAACTGCGAGAACTCCCTCGGCCCTTTAATCGCAAGGTGTGGCAACCAAGCCCGTAAACCATACACGTCTTACCAATCGCCAGGTGTGGTAACCCCTCTTGTGATCAGTTGGTTTTGCTGATTGCGAATCGGCTTCGCATGAAGTTTCGATACTGCTTCACGACAGCGCCAAGACCTCATGACTTAGCTCTTCCATGGCCCATTCTCCGAGGGAGGGGGCCGGCGGCAGGGGGCGAAGCCCTTACGGATATACACAGATACCATGTGTGGTGTGCTGTGCGCTATGCCTTAAATGTTTTCTGTTGTGTCTGGCATATGTTAGATGGTAACGTGTTGAAGGCCGCCTTGAGTGCCCCCTGCGATGACACAGTTGTTTAACGGAGTTAGTTGTATCACAGCTTATCCAATGAACATAATGTTCGATGATGCTGCGAGCGGAGCACTTACCATTGTGGGGGAGAGCGTCGCGATCCAACTAATCAAACATCTGGCATGCTGAGGATGTCTCAAGCGGCACGCTTGCTTGTATTGGGCTGCAACGCAGCTCATGCAACACCTCATTGTTCGAGGATGTCCAGAACGACACGCGCCGAAAACGCATCATGGTCTGAAGGATGCCTGCAGCGAAAACCTACAACGAATCTCCTGACGCGACCAGGGCGAGCAAGAGATACAACAACTGCGCAGTAGCTTTGAACAACGTGGAGACCCGCTGTAGCGTAGGCACGCTCCTAGAGATAGGGTCCGAGTAGATAGGGTCGGAGGATCGCGCTGCATCGGCGATGCATCGGCGATGCATCAGCGGCGTCGGCGATGCATCGGCAACGTCCGCGTGAAGAAGATCGGCCTCCGCAGCGAGCCGCATCTGCGACGCAACGGCGATGCGGCGCGATCCTCCGACCCCATCTACTCCCACCCCAGGTAGGAGGCCCAGAGCGCAGCAGCTCTGAGCAATGTGGAGACCCGCTGCAGCGCAGGCACGCTCCCCGAATGTCTCCAAAAACGTTGCCGATTTAGGAGGCCTAGAGCGCAGCAGCTTTGAACAACGTGGAGACCCGCTGTAGCGCAGGTGCGCTCCCCGAATGGTCTCAGAAAACGTTGCCTGGGTAGGCCGGGCGGACCTCGCGGCGAGCACACGCGGGCCAGCACCTCGGCGAAGGAACCTGCGTGTCCTCGCGTGGGTCCTCCTCCTCCTCCTCCCCCTCCTGCTCCTCCTCGTGGGGCCGGGGCGGGAGGCGCTGGGCCGAACGGCCGAAGGCTGCTCTTCCGGCAGCTTTTTGTCGGGCGGCCGGGGAGGGCCCCAGAGGGCCCACGGACCAACCCTTGCGAAGGAGCTGTGTGGATCGGCGCGGGCTCGCGTGGGGGGTGGGGGTCGGGGCGGGGGTCGGCGGCGCGATGGTGCGCTTCGTGCGCCGTGCTTTCGGTTTGGGTGGAATGGGCTGTTCTGTTGTTGAACTATGTGGCTTCTTGATATTTGAACTATTGCTCATTAGCCTGGCGGAAGACCCAACCACATGCAGTTGTGAATACAGTTGTTGTTAGTAGTGTCGCCTTCGGTGGATCTCCTTATGGGGCCACGAAACGCGTGAAGAGTGTAATGGGGCAAGGCGGAGCTCCGTATGGGGCCACGGACCGTGTGAGAGGTGTGCAACAAATGGGGCGGTGCCGCCATGCGGGCGGACTGCGCCACTGGGGCCTTAGGTGGAGCTCCCTATGGAGCCACGAAACGTGTGAGGGGTGTGCCAAAATGAGGCGGCGCCGCCATGCAGACTGCGCCACTGAAGCCGTAGGTGGAGCTCCCTTTCGGGCCACAAAACGTGCCAAAATGGGGCGGCGCCGCCATGCGCACTGCGCCAGTGGGATCTTGGGTGGAGCTCCCTATGAGGCCACGGAACGTGTGAGGGGTGTGCGGTGTGCCCAAATGGGGCGGCGCCGCCATGCGGACTGCGCCACTGGAGGGGGAGGGGGCAGCTGGAGGAGTGACGCGGGGCGCTCTCTCTTCAAAACGAGGATCCAACACCACAGGATGGTTGGGAATCGGTGTGAGCTTGTCTTTGGGTAATGTTTGAATGCTGGTCGCTGAGTTGCGTTTTTTTGTTTGAAGAGGTGTGTGTGTGTTTTCAGCATTGGTTAGTTGTCACAGATGATTGGCATATGTTGTGCTTGTTATGCCTGCTGATGTGTATGATATATTTGCTGGTGTAACTTCATTTGGGTAGCGGGGGCAACAATCAGTTTCTTTTGAGTTTGGCGTATGGCTCAGCTCTGACTAGTCTTGTTACTTATACAACATGCCTTATGATCTACACGATGTTCGATGACTTTTGAGGCCTTCGAGCCGTCCGCGGCCACCGACACGCGCGGGAGCCGTTTTCGGCACAGGGCGGGCCTGCGTGGACCTGCGTGGA